CACCAAAAGTTAAAGGAGGAAAGGTTTACTTCAGCTCACAGTTTGTAGAGGTTTCCCAGTCCATAATCAGGTTCCAAAACAGGGTGACATGGCAGAGGGGCATCATAGAGGAGACACCATCCATGGCATGGCAAGGCAGCCAGAAGGTAGCAAGCAACAGCAGCAAACCTGTCTTCTCTTGCCCTTGATGTTCCATACAGGCTGTGAGCCTATTGATTGGTGTCACCCACACCCAGGGTGGGGCTTCCTTCTTCCTCACCCTTAACACCACGTTCACACCCCAGTCATATTCCAACACCCTAACCTCACTACCTTTGAAACTCCCATCTATGACTTCATGAGGCTTTGTGGGGACATCTAGATACAAGTCGTAATGGATGCCAAGTGGATTCCATCGACCATCTGAATTCCCATCAAACCCCACACCAGATATATCCCTGGAGGTTCTCTCCCCACACCGAGTCCATGCCTTCTCTCCCCATCGTGACTTGACACCTGGAGCTGCTATTCTCTGCTGCTGGAAAGCTTTCCCATGTTCCAAACACTTGAGAATCCTTTCCCCAGGTGGCTTGTTCCCTAGTGACTCAGTGAAACATTCACAACAGATTTTCTCCTGCTGCCAAACACCAAGGTTTCTCTCCTGGATGGAGTCATTTGAGGTAAGCGGGTGAGGAAGCTTCTCCCCGCAGTGGCCCTGTAGGTCTCACAGTCTTCTAAGCTGACAAGCTGGTCACATCAGAAGTATTCTGAACATTCTAGTCATTTCAAGTGTCCTGCTTCATACATGTGGCCCAGGGCCAACACAAATACCACTAGCATTTTGAGCACAGGTTGGCACAACGAACTTCCCAGAAAACATTTCTTTGCACACACAAATGTGACCTTGGCTAGGTTCTCCTTCTTGCTCTTCCCCGGTCTGGGCACCTAGCATGACAGTTCCTCAGCAGATGCTTCTGTGAGCTGTACCCCACAGCCCCTGAGAGACCCCTTCTGAGAGCCGTGATCTTAAAGGGAAACACAGACAAGGGGCAGCAATGTCTGGGGAAGGGAGGCGAACATAAAAGCTGCAACTAAAAGGTTTTTACAGTTAATTCAACTCTGCCCCACTGTAAAAGGCTGCCTTTAAAAGCTGCCATTTGTTTTGCATTAACTAAAAATGGACGTGCCTGTTGGAAGAAGTGGGGAGGGGAGAAGCCCATAGCTATTATGATGGGCAGAGAAAGTGTGTGTGTGTGTGTGTGTGTGTGTGCGTGCGTGCGTGCATAAACCACTGGAGAAAGTGCAAAGTGGGGAGACAGAAAGACTGCAAGGCGCTGCTGTCAGTTGCTATTTATACAGCACAGTAAATGGGGTGCTGTCAAAGCACTACCATCTGACTTAGCTGCTGTGTAAGTGCTGCAAGGCGAGACCTCAGAAGAACCAGTCTCCCAGTTAATGTTTAACTAGATGCTTCCATTTTTGAAAATAATGTTCTTTATGCTCAGTCTTTATGGAGACAGGAGGGGAGGCTGGCTTGCAACCTGCATGATGTATGAGCTGCTGTTAGGGATCACAGAAAGCCCAGGTTTTGTTCCTCAGCTTCATTATCGATACTTCCACCCTGTTGGCAAATAGCGTTTTCCCACACGCTTGACCTATCCCTGCTGTGACAGCATTGGTTCCTCCTAACAAAATAAGCTAAGGTGACTGCTGCCATCACAAAATGGAAATGAGAATGCCAAGGAAGAAAGGTGTCGAGCACCCGGCCCCAAGTTGTGCCAGATAGGGAGGGATAAGGCGGAACCTGTTTTCTCAAGGGTTTGGCTGGTAGAATGGAGAGGCCATGTTGCCTGGACTACTGAAGTCCTCAGGAAAGCATCCAGATGACCCACAGGACCAAAATGCAGCTGCACTGAGCAAACAGCAAGGTGCTAGGTGTGGGCATCCCTTCCAATCCCAGACAACAGCCGACTTCCCACTACTCCGCACTGAGTGTCCACCTCCGGGTCTCAGGTCCTTCCCTGCCTCCCCACTGCCCCTTCTCTGTCCTTCACCTCCAGCCGCCCTCTGAGCCCTGGGCAGGCTCCCTGAGACGGCACTGGCACAGCCCACAGCACCCTCAGTCTCTTCTCAAGTGGACTGAGATGGTCGCCTAGCCATCCAGTGACCCGCAGGCACACTGTAGACGGCCACCGGGAGCCTTTGGGGCCACCCACTGGGCACCCTTCTCCTCTGCAACATGAAGAATCCCCTCCTCACCCTGCTCCCTCTGTCTGTGTGGCATCTCTGAACAGCTCTGCACCCCAGTCATGGTGGGGTGTGTGGACACAGCTGCAAAGCTCAGCTGTGCCTCTGAGTGGTGGCACCTCGCTGGAGCACTGAGCTTGACACTTGGGTGTAGCACTCAGCTGCTTTGGTCTGCCGTGACAGTCCTAGCTCAGGAGCCATGAGCTGCCCTGTCCCTCCTAAACAGACAGCCACGCTGCACTAGAGACACAGAGGGAACAGGCAGAAAGATCTTGAGCCGCAGCGCGATGCTGCTCCCTGTGCGATGCATTCTGGCTACTGATGCGGATCCTTCTCTGGGATGTGAACAGGTGACACGTCAGAGAGACAAACCGCTGTGACTCCCATAAGAAGATGGAACTCAGGTGTGGTTGAGCGGATCTGTAATCCCAGCGCTGTAGGAGCCTGAGGCAGGAGGATCCCAAATTCAAGCCCACTCCAGGCAACTTAATGACTGAGATCCTGTCTCTAAATAAACAATAAAAAGGGCTGGAGATGTGGATCAGTGAGAAAGTCGTGGGTTTAATCCCTAGTACGGGGGGGGGGGGTTCTGAATAATTTCAAGCCTCTTTATTAAAGCGGAACTTCAGGATCTAATTCTGTGTGTGGCTATGTAAACTGGAGCAGCCCATGTAGGCAAGATTCAAAACAACCAGCAGTATCCAACAAGATGGGTAGGGATGCAACCCAGGCGTAGAGCGCTTACTCCATGTGGGATCCCCTGGGTTCAAGCTTCATACGGCAAAAATAAAACTACAAAGCAAGCTAAAGGCCATGCGGCAGGATTTGGAAGATTTCAGATGTATCTCGGGAAATGCGGTGAACTCTGGGAGCGCTGGGAGTGCAGGGGGCTTCTGGGCCCTGACCCCGTGTGTGAGGTGCCAGGTGCAGAACTGGCCTCTCCGATGCTCCTCCAGTTGTGGACCCAGGGGAGGGCTGGGCCTCTCGAGCGCCTGGGGAAGTCCTGCGCCTCCCCGCGGACAGGGTCCAGGGCTCACAGTGAGCTCAGCCTCGAGTGCAGGTGCGTGTGGCTCTGACACAATGCTGCCTTCAGTACGGAGTTAGCAGCTCTGGGCTTCTCCCTGCCTCTGGGTCCGATGCCGCTCACAAGACCTCTCCCGTAAATTTGTTGTGTAAAAACCCCGGATGAGGGATAAAGTTGCTGGAGTAATTTCTGAAAACAATAGACTTTATTTACTACATTTAGGATGCTTAGAAGGGAGGGGGCAAAAATGTGTTTCATGCCACTGTAGGAAATTAATTTTGAGATTTTTAAATTAACTCCTTCTGTGCTAAAGTGTTTTGTTTTGAAAAGACATAGTTGCCTTCTGAGAAAGTATTGGAAGTTTTTACATGTAAAACAAGGACTTTAGTTCAATGGAAATAAAACCAGTCAAGGCAACCTCAGACATTAGAAGTCTGTCTTCCTGTGAAACTCGAGGGGAGGAAGTGAGCAGTGATTTCGGAAACTTAACTGTACCACAGATCCACCTGAAATGAGCAACTTCGGAATCAGCTCCATTTTCAAACATCACTGCGCGCAGCCATGTGCAGGGCACTCGGGATTGGAGACGAAGCCTCTTCCTGGGCTTTCCATGCTCGGGCTGTGCCAGACAAGAAATGAGGAGGACAGCTGCTCTAGAAGCACCGTGGAGGAAGTCGGTCTGCAGTGGAGCTTCTAGAAAAGCTCTTAGCAGACATCCTAAGTGTCTTCTCCATGTGTACACGCCAGGCAGACCTCTGGAAAGCAGGTCAGGTCTAGACACGTGACTGGATCGAGGCCCGGTGGGACGGGGAGAGACCCCACACCCTGTAAAGAGTGCACACTGGGTCACACCCTGTCACTCGGATTCAACTGCCCATTGCACAAGCCCCTCCTGCGGAGACTGTGGAGTCATCACAAAGTGGATGCCTACGGGGCTTCCCTTGACAGACAGGGATGAGTCCTGACGCATGGAACCCTTGCTGAGTTCAGACCGAAGGGCAGCACGGTGGAACACAGTGCCTTCGTGTGTGTTCTCCTGACTCCACCCAACCATCCCGACTTTGCAGGTCGGTTGCTTTGCTTGGAAGTAGTGCAGCCAAGGAGAGAAAGACTATCAGCATGGAGGAGAAGAGCTCCAGTTGCCAGGGCTGGACCAGTACTTCTGAGCATCCCGAGGCACAGCGCAGCCCTGAATTCCATGGGAAGCTCTGTCCTGCCCCACCCCATTCTGCTGCGAGCCCAAGACCACCCAGTGCGGGCACACATCCTGCACTGCTATGGAGGAAGAGGCCCTGGAAAAGGCCAGTGCCAGCTCTTCAGGGAGGCCACTGCTCAGCAACTGCCAATAAAGGCCTCCTGAGCTGTGATGTCATAAGGGGTGCGCTGAGGCAGAATGGAGGCTGCACAGTTGCTGAGGCACTTGGCACGCTGGTGGCTTCCAGAAAGATTCTAGCAGATGAAGTGTCAGCACCCTATTGGCCTAGATCTCTGCCACCGAACCTTGCCCTGTCGTGTTTGTGCTGCGCTTCTGGGCTCCATGGTTGCTGGTTTGTCCACAGTTGTGGCTGCTGATCCTGGCTGCCCACAGCCAGACTGGGCCCCAAACCCAGTCCAGCTGAACTCTGAGGCCCTGGGGCCAAATAAGGCCTCTTCCCTCCACTCTGATCTTCCATCCAAATCTCTCCATGCCCTCACTCCCCCAGCAAACCACAGGGGCTTTGATTACCTGGATTCCTTGGTGCCCACTAAGATGTTGTCTCCACCTTGCGAGTTCGCTGGACAGCTGTCCCCAGAGCTGGATAAGGTGGCGCTAGTTCCAGCGCTAGGTGGGATCAGAACCAAGATCTAGCTCTGCCTCCTGGCCTCAAAAGGAAGGTCCAGGCTGCCAGGCTGCATCAGGGTCCAAACCACCTGGCCCTTGACACCCTTGTCTCACCTCTTGACAGTCAGCGGTCAAAAGCACCTAAGTTTCTTTCACACCAGAAGAAGGAAGAGCTGGCTCAGCATGGGTGACTTGCTAAGGTGGAGGTGGGAGCTTGTAAATCCTAAGCTTCTGAAACAAACCTCTCAGGATGATCATGTAGACCTGAGTGCGGATACAGCTGACCAGGACAGCCTTGATCTGGAATCCTGGGAGAACGCAGATGAGCCTCCAGAGCCCCCTGGACAAACTGGACCTTCTCAATCCCAGCTGAGGGTCCAAACTCAGCGCCAGAGACTCCCAGGGCCGACCCTCTTCACCTCAGCAAGAAGCCACACATCAACACTCACAGTGCCCTGAGGACTGGAACCTTCTTCCACACGGCAGGAGGCCCAGGCTCAGTGTGTCCTTGCTGCTGAGGAGGGTGTAGAGCAGCTGTCGGTGCCTCAGGAGGGAAAAGCGCCATCTCCCCGTAGGAGTGAAGCCTGGCGCTCACACTCGAGATTCGTCACAGTTAATGTGGCCGTGAAGGTTATGATGACCACCCAGGCAGGGAGGGAGTCTCGATTTCAAGCCAGCTGCAGGTCCCAGCCTCATCTCCAGAGAGTCCTGAGGAGGTAGAACCTTCTGGAAGCCAGCGGGATGCTCTAGCTCAGCCTGCAAATAATTCCCCTGGAGGAAGTCAAACCTCCAGTCCAAGAAGATACTCAAGAGGTCCCACTGGAGAGGACAGCTGAAATTCCACCTCTTCATGAGGTGACAGTGCGGCCTGCAGATCCTATCATAATTTGTCCAATGTGACTGTTAGGCCAGCAGATATGGAGCTTGCTGTAACTTCAGAGCCTACTGGGGAGGTCAAATCTTCTCCAGCTCAGCAGAAGGCCCCAGCTCAGCTGCCAGGCTCTCCCGAGGAGACTGAATCTTCGCCCCAGGAGCAGAAGCAGCCAGTTCAACATTCTGAGGCTCCTGAGGAGGTAGAACCTTCTGGAAGCCAGCTGGAAGCTCCACCTCAGATTGAAAATCCCCTGGAGGAATTCAAACCTTCAGTCCAGGAAGATGCTCAAGCTTCAGAGGCCCTTCTGGAGAGTACAGGTAAAATCCCACTACTTCAGCAGGTGACACTCTGACCTCCAGGTCAGGATCTAGCTTCCAATCATAGCTTGTCCATTGTGATAACGAAGCCAGTGGATGTGGAACTTACCACAACGTCAGAGCCTACCAGGGGGTTGAATCTTCTCCAGCCCAGCAGGAGGCCCCTTCTCCGCCTCCATGCTCTCCTGTAGAGGCTGAACCTCCCCATGAGCAGGAACAGCCAGCTCAACCTTCTGAGGCTGCTGAGGAGGCTGAATCTTCTGAGAACCAGCTGGTAGCTCCAGCTCAGCTTGCAAAGTTTCCCAGGGAAGACAAACCTCGGGTCCAGGAAAACACTCCAGCTTCAGTGTTCCCTCCGGAGAGTGTGGATTAAGTCACAATTTCAACTCAGGTCACCATCAAGCCAAGTATTGACACTGCCCAAGGTGACTGTGACACCTTCAGACCTGCAGCTCACCAGGACACCTGCACCCACTGCAGAGGTGGGAACTTCCCTAACCCACCATGAGGCTACAGCTCAACCCTCAGTTCCACTGGATAATGTGGAACCTCCTGTGATGCAGAAGGAGGCCCCAAGTCTGCCTCCAGATCCCTCTGAAGGAGTTGAACCCTTACATTTCCAACAGGAGGCTCCAGCTCCATCTTCAGAACCTGTTCAGGCTGAGCAAACCTCTCCAGCCAGCAGGAGACCACAGATGGGACCTAGGCTTCTGAGGAGGGTGAACCTTCTTAAACCCAGCAGGAGGCCACATCTGTACATCCCTCAAGAAGCTACAGCTCAGCCTCCAGAGCTCCCCAACATCACCAGGGAGCTCTAGAACATCACAAGGCAACAGTTTGTCCTCTGGATGTTGACCAAGTGCAGCCTCCAGCATTGGACTGTGTCACTGTTAAGCCTCCAGAGGTGACTAATGAGGTTGAGACTGAAAGTTCAGCAGAAGAGGAGGCCCCTGAGCAGTTTGGACCTTTCACTGACAAGCAAGCGGTTCCAACTCAGCAGTCCAACCCTGCCATGAAGGATGAACCTTCTGCATCCCATAGCAGGGTCCCAAGTCAGCCTGCAGAGCTTCCTGAGGATTATTCTCCATGCCAGCAGGAGAGCTCAGCTTGGTCCCCAAACCCCCCTGCTGCACCCGTCCAGCAACAGCTCTCAGCTCAGCAGTGGGGCCCTCTGTGAGCACTACTGTTGTTTTCACTTTGGCGAAAGCATAACATTTTCAACCCAACCGTCAGAGCTACCCAAGCAAATAGAGCCATCTCCAGTGCCCCAGGAGGCTGTCGACACAGCTTCAGGGCCACCTAATGAGATGGAACCTTCTCCAGCTCAGCAGAGGCTGCCACCTCAGCCTGAAGAGCTCCCTGAGGGGAAACTCCTTCCAGGGCTGCTGCCAGCCCCATCTCCCCCTCCAGAGCTTCCCAAGGAGCTCCAACTTTGTCCAACCCAGCTGGGGGATCCATCTCAGTGTCCATATGAGCCACCCAATGAGAGCGTAGCTCACCCTCCAGCCCATTATGAGAGGACAGTCCCACCACCAGCTCAGGAGCAAGCTCTGCTGCCACGACTGCCCAGTGTTGCATCTCATCCTTTGGACTTGGAAGTCACCATCGTGCCAAAACCCAGTGCAGATGGTGAACTTCCTGGAGAAGTCTGCAGCTGTCCCTCCAAGGCACTGCTGGGTGACGCTTCCACAACCAAACCTGATTCCGGTGACAGCTGGACCTCTGAGCCCGGAGCTCAGCAGAAGTCCACCATGGGCTTCAGAAGCCAGAGCTTCTTCGATTGTGCAGGAGCTTTCCTCTCGGCCTCCAGACCCAGCTAAGGAGGTCGTCACTCAAGCGCCAGTGCCTGGTGAGACAAGAATTCAAACAACAGGTCAAGAGCTTCCTCAGCAGCCAACACCACCTGGGGTCACAGGCCAGCCTTTGGATCAGGGGCTGACCACAGCTACGATGCTCACCAGAGACGCTGCAGAGCACACAGCTCCTCCTTCAATGCGCCCCGGAGCGACACTTCCACATCCAAGGCAAATGCCCCGTGTCTGGATCTCCAACTGAGTCACATCATCAAATCCCTCTGGGTGACAGATTGTCCGATCTGGGGTTGGGGCCTGGCCATCTTCAGCGAGGGGCACCTCACTCAGCCACCACACTCCGTGTAAAAAATGCTTATCCCATCACGCCCCTGCTGAAAGTTTCCCACACTCTGTCCTCACACTTCAGGAGAAAATTTGAGAATCCCCCTACGACTTCTCCAGTAGTGCAGAGATGGTCCTGAGAGCACAAAATCTGAAAGTGCTGAGCTGTCAGGAGCTATGAAGCTGGGCAGGTTACTGGCCTCTCTGAGTTTTGTTATTCATCTAGAAGTGGGAGAAATGCTCATCTATCTCACAGACTTATTGGTGAGGACTAAATGAGATAAATACTGTAAGAATGGGTCTTCACTGAGTTCCTGGCACATAAAAAGGCCAATAAGTGGTAGTCAGTCCTAGAAATATTGTATGATATTTTAATTTTTATTAATTTATTTAAGTCAACAAATATTCATCAGGCAACTTGCAGTACATCTGTGACAAAATAGCCAAAGATTCCACCTAGGGGAGTTCACTCTTGTTGGAGATATTCACGTAAGAAATGAACAAAGAAATAAATAAGTGACAAGACAAAAGGGTGATATTCGTTCTAGAAGAATGTATGAGGGCAGGGTAACAGAGATCGGGATGCAGGACGGGAAGACAAGATGCAGCTTTCCTTGTTGGAAGAGGAGCTGCTGTGTGGAATTGAGGGTGGGGTGTCAGCTCAATTGGCTTTGTGATCTTCTCTGGGTGTGTCTGGATGGGCCGTGTGGTGTAGCCTTGGCATCTAAGTCTGGTCCCTGGCCCCTTCTCCTCTGTTCTGTTCCCCAGCCACCATGAACTAAACAGCTTTGCCCCACCACACCCTTCCAGTATGATGTTCCCACCTCAGAGCCAGCCAGCCATGGACTGAATCTCCTCAAAACATGAGCCAATAATTTGAACAGCTCCTCCTTTAAATTGTGGGTCTTGGTACTGTGTCCTGGCAACTGGATGCACAGTGATCCAGACACTGAGTAAGTGACCCATGGGAAGGGCATGAAGGGAGTGAGTGGGTTGCATCCTGGGAAGAGGGAAGAGGGAGCACAAAGCCCTCCACACAGGACCATGATATGCTGGAGGAATGGTAGGAAGGCCTGAGTGGCTTGAAGAGCAAGGCCTGGATGGTGATGCTCTTTAGTCACCTCCCTGAGAAGTCATGTGGCTCCTGGGGACCTTGTGTGCTGCTGAGTGAAATCAGGAGTCACTGCAGGGCTTGGATGGAGGAGCAGCAGCATGTGATTCAGGTCCTAGGAACAGACCCACTGGAGGGAGGCAGGGCTACAGGCAGGGAGATGGGGTAGCAGCCATGGCCAAAACACAGACACCTGCTAGGCTGCCACGTGGGGAAGGGAGAAGTGGAGAAACTGAGAGGGCAGCGATGCAGATCCACTCTGAAGACAGTTTCCAGTAGAGTTCCTTGATGGACCAGGTCTGAGACAGGTGTGGACCAGGAGTGGACCCAAGGACGAAATCTGAAGATGCTGCTAAGTGAAAGAAGCCAAAACCAGACACAAGAGGCCAAGTGCATCTAATCCTATTCGTATGAAATGTCCGGAACAGGACACAGCTACAGAATGGAGATTAATGCTGGGGAACACAGGAGGTGGGGAATGGCTGCTCAGGGTAATGGGACCCCTTCCGGGGGTGAGGAAAATGTTCTGGAGACCATGGTGATGCTTGTGCAGCACTGCACCAAAAGCCACTGACTGTACACTTGATAATGGATTAGAGATGGGGGCTGGGGATTTAGCTCTGGTTTTGCCCCCTGCCTCGCAAGCTCAAGGTCGCGAGTTTGATCCCCGGTACTCCCCCCCAAAATACAATGGATTAAAGATGGATTTCACATTCTGTGAATTTCACCTCAGTAAAGAAAAATAACCCATAGTGTTCTAGCTTGAGCAACTGGAAGAACAGTGGCCATGTGAGACAGGAAGTCCACAGGGGAAGGCAGGTTAGTAGGGGAAGTTCACAGTTTAGTGTTGGACATTTTGAGTCTGAAGGGTCTGTTATCCACGGAGAAAGGCTGAAAAGACAGTTTGGTTTTGGAAATTTAGGTTGAAATATCTATATTTGAGAGTGGTTGGCCCCTCCAACAGCTAAGAGGTCTCTTGGTCCAGTTTCTGTCTCAGTCCTTTCTGTGCTGCTATAACAGAATACCAGAGACTAAGTCATGTATAGAATAGAGTATTATTTTCTCACAGGTCTGGAGGCTGCAAAGTCCATGACCAAGCACCAGCAGCTTCCATGGTCTAGTGAGGGCTGCTCTCTGCTTCCAGGATGGCACCTTTGCTCCACTGCTGGGAGGGGACGATGCTGTGTCCTCATGTGTTGGAAGACCAGGACAGAAGGAAATCACTAAGGCACAAGATCAGATAAGGGAGAGGCCCAAGGATCGCGCCTTTGGAAATTGAAGAATCTAGCAAGGAAGAACAGGAAACAGCCAAGGCAGTGGGGAAAGCCTGAGCAGTGAACAGGAGTAAAGCAAGCAAGTGTGGCTGTTGCCTGTCACTATCTGAAGTTCCCCTGCTTGGGCATACACAGAGGTCCCAAGCCATGTTGCGACATGTCCCGTCTTAGGAGAGCTCCTGCAGGCGTTCTCTGTAACCACACGTTCCTTCCCCTTTCTGGGCTGGCTAATGGATGCTCACTCTTCAAAGCTGAGCTCAGTACCACCCAGTGACTTCTTGATTTTTATTAGTTCATGTTTGTGGTACACAAGGGCCACACTCATTGTGGGGAGTTGGCACGTGTACATAACACATCTTAATTCTTTGTATTCCCCTTCTCCTTCTCTACCCCCTCCCTCCTTCTCAAGGTCCCCTTCCTATTTACCAAAGATCTATCTTCCTGTTTCCTATCTTTTGTTTTGCTCTTTAAATTATTTGTACTTTGGGTTTCTCATATAAGAGAAGCTATGTGATATTTGTTTGGGTGTCTGATTCATTTCACTTAATATTATGGCCTCAAGGTGCATTTGTTTACCTATAAAGACTAAAATAGGTCCTTCTTTATGTCAGAATAGTACTTTATTTGTATAAATACCACATTTTCTTTACCATTCATCTGCTGGTGGAGTGCAGGCTACTTTCAAGATTTAGGTTTATGAGTTGCGCTGTGATAAACATGGGTATGCATGTATCACTGTAATTATGATGACTCTAACTCGGGACAAAAACAGCATGGTACTGGCACAAAACTAGAATCAGTGGAATAGAATAGAAGACACAGAAACAACACCAGGCATATTAAGCCATCTGATCTTTGATAAAGGGGCCGAAAACATACTCTGGAGGAGAGACAGCCTCTTTAACACATGGTGCTGGGAAAACTGGCTACACACATGCAGAAGATTGAATCTGGGCCCATATCTATCACCATGCATAAAAATAAAATCAAAACAGATCAAAGCCCTAGATACTAAAACAGGAACCCTTAATCTGCTGGGAGATAAAACAGGTGAAACCCTTGAAGACAGGGGCACAGGTAAGGACTTTCTGAACAGAACCCTGACTGCAGAAGAAATAACATCAAGAATCAACAGGATCATAGCAAATTTAAACAGCAAAGGAAGCAACCAACAGAATGAAGAGACAACCTACAGAATGGGGAAAAATTTGCCATCTATACCTCGGACAGAGGACTAATAGCTAGATAATGTAAAGAGCTCAAAAGTCCAGACCCCCCCAAATAAAAGACTCAATCAAAATTAGACATCTCAGCAGACCATTCTCAGAACCACAAACAGGTAATGGGTGAGTGAAAAAAATGCTCAACCTCTCTGGGCATGGAGAAATGCAGATTAAAATGACACAGAGATCCATCTTACTTCAGAAAGAAAGGCTAGCAAGAAATCAGTAACCGGTGCGGTCCCACCCACCGTGCCACGGAGCCCACACTTTTCTCGTCTGATCTAGATGTCCCTCCTGGGTCCACAACCTGCATCTCACTCACCTCACCACGTATCCTGCGGAACAGTAAATCCTGCCGCACCTCAGCCTCCCCCAACAGAGGCAAAGACGAGGGTATGTCGTGACTGCACATGCCACGCTAAGCCCAGGATGCTGCCTTCACAATGATCCCCGAATGAAATACAAACATGGAAGCACCTTACTTCACTCGGTAGAAACGTCCCTAAGAAATTAAATGCACAGCAAAGTGCTAAGGAATTTCTTTATCTTCATGATTCTGTTAAACGAACTGAGTGGGAGTGCTACTTAAACCATCTTTGTTGGAGAGTTATTTTATAAAGCAAAGCATTCTGTTATACCACACACAGACCCCCTCCAAATTAGCTGTTATTGATCACTTAGCTTTTTATACATGCACTGGAATTCACAAGTCATGCCAATGAAAGAATTCTATAGACTGTTTTCATGTTACAGTTTTGCACACATTTTAAAATATACATCTACATTTGAGTGTCTGGGATAAAATAACACTTAAAACAATTGCCAGAATCTTTCCAACAGTTTCCCATCATTATGATGGAGACCAGTAGCAGCACACACTGCATCGCCTTCCATGGGGGGACATAAGCTGTCAAGCGAAGAACAGCTGAAATTAGGCACAGATATTTTAATGGGAATGAAAGTACTGTGTTCGGGTCTTTATTTTCATTATTTTTATTTTTTTCCATTAAGTTCATTGGTACATTTTAGGTATACAGTACAGTTACATTCATCATTGGGATCTTGTACCTTTACTTGATGCATCTTGGTTCTTATTTTTTCCCCTTCCCCTGCCCTCCCTTCACCCCCTCCACCCTTCCTTATTTACAAAGTCTTTGTTTCCATTTTTTCCTTTTCTCATATTTTTTCTTTTCCCTTCTTTCCTTTCCC